CGCGCACACTTATTCATTCATTCGTCAACCATTCTGTCTGTTAGACCTCTTGATTGGAGGAAAAAATGGTTTTCAATAAAACGTATCGAACAACTCATATGATGATATGACCACTATTGATTCTTCAGTAATAAGAATAGGTCTACCGACCTATATTATTACTTTCAGTTCGTAACACTATGAAGGTCGAAACTCGTTTTGAATCTTTTAACAGTAGGTGCTGATATTACTTGTTCTGGTAGAGAATTCCAGCAATTCACTACTCTGTGCGAGAAACGAAACTACAGACATAGACGATTTGACCTCGGTTTTTGAACTTTCCCTGAATGTCCTCTCATACCGTTAGTTGTGTTCAGTTCAGTTATTAGAGCAAAGTTAATTCGGTTTATTTGGTAATAAGGGCCTTACAACCAAATAAAGAAGCAGACACTTCAACGACAGCCCATTCTGGTGATGAAAATCAGTTTGAATTTGACCTACTGATAAAGCATACCTTAATGTCAAAGATGGCACACTGAGACTTGATATTTGCTTAGTTAAATCAAATTCCGTTTGTTTGATTGGATAAAATTTAGTTGTCAGTTGCTAATGACTGATATGTTGCAAACCTCAAAGTCAAAGGTTGGAAGCTGACTGGGCCTTTATCATTATATTTTGATTTATAGACTTCACTCCACCCAGTATTTGCTATCCGGTAAATGTACAGTTTATTGGTAATATATTATTTACGTCCTATACTGTCTGCATGATAAGATTTATTGTGTGAATAACTTCTTTCAACTGAGCTCAGTTTTTGGAGGACCGGAAAAATCTAGTGTTTCGATCCCCAATATATCTAAATGGTTCAAATGGTTGTGGCCGGAATAGAAGAAGCTTTTGCTTAACGGGCTTCCGTATCTAGTAGCAGTGGATCACCAATACCTCCAGGCAGGAACCTAGGTATGTTAATGATAATAGAGGGAAAAAAAGAAATTGGTAAATCATAATAAGATGTTACCCTTAGTCCTTAAGAATAGGTCCAGTTTCCTCTTAAAGGACTCCTGGGAAGTCGCTCGGACTAGTTCAGTTGGCAGCGAACTCCAGCGTTTGACAACTCCTAAAGAGTAGAAGTTGTGTTTACACTTCATTCTGCTATGTTTTGTCTCCAATTTCTGGGTGTTACCCTTTAGGTTCGGATTGAGACTAAGCTTATGTAGGTGTTTAAGGAGATGTCCAGAAGTATTAAGGATACTGTAAGCCATTCGAAGGTCACCTCTAAGACGCCTGTACTCTAATGGGTAAAGTATAAGTGATTGAAGGCGCTCTTCATAAGGTTTAAATTCGAGTCCCCGAACTGATTCCGTAGCTTGCCGTTGGATACGCTACAGAGTGTCGTTATCCTTTTGGAGTGAGGGAGGAAATTCTGTTTCGTACTCTTAATGGGAACGAATAAAACTGTTGAAGATTGTGTGGAAAGTTCTTCCGTCAAACTGGCCAAAAATGCGCTCAAATGTTGCCAGTGCAAAGTTTGCTCGAAAGGCATTTTCGTCTCAGTTAGCGTAAGACTTCGAATCGTAGGTTACCAGGACTCCTAATAATTTTTCGACTCGGGATGCTACTAGAGAGGAGTTTCTTAAGTTATAACTGTAGTCTGAGACATGTCGCAGATGGACTACTTTACACTTTGAAGTGTTTAAGGTAAGTCCGTTGCCGTCTGCCCAACTTTAAATTCGAGTCAGATCCTCCTGAAGTACCAACATATCCTCTTGGTTGCGTATCTCTATCCAAAGTTTCACATCATCAGCAAAAATTAATAAGTCAGATGATACCTATTGTGGAAGATCGATAAGATAAATTAAGAAAAGAAGAGGTCCTAGTACTGAGCTCTGAGTACCCCACTAGGACATTCCATAGCTTGAGATAAAGTGAAATTAACCCTGACCTTAAAATGTCGATTCTTTTAGATATGAAGTGACCCAGACAATTAGAGATTGTTTGATACCCAATCGTTCGAGCCTGTTGGTAAGACATGTATGGTTAACCCTATCAAAAGCTTTTGAGAAGTCAAGGTAAATGACGTCAACCTTCCGCTTGCGATTAGAGATACTTATCCATCTGTCCACCGCATTCATTAGGTTGGTTATGTAAAAGTGACCCTTCCTGAAACCATGCTGTTGAGGTAAGAAGTTTAATGATAGTAAATAGTCGTGTATACCATCGCATATCAAGAACTCCAAAATTTTTGAAGGTAAAGACGGAAGAGTTACCGGTTGGCAACATGAAGGTTCGCTGCGTCGACCTCCTTTGAAAATTGGTGTGATGTGAGCCAGCTTCCAATTTTCCGGTAGTTTTCCTCGGCTTAGCGAGTGTAAGAACATCACGCTAAGCGGTGTTGCCAGGATTGAGGCCGCTTCCCTCAGTATAGCAGAATGAACCATATCCAGGCCAGGAGAAGTGTCTTTTCGTGGGTGCTGCAGTTTCCGGAACACCAAGACAGAGCTCAGGTTAACTTAGGAACGTCCTGTGCAGTTGCAGATGAAGCTGTCATCGGTATAGTTGATGTGGGTCGGTTGAAGTGTCCGGGAGTATTGTCCGGCCTAAAGGTTAGAGGCATCGCCGACATTATTGGTCGGGGCATCGGGTCTGAGCAGTTGTGAAACTTCAGTTTTGACTTGTCGAAGAGAGGCTGCTTAACGGAATAAGCTTTGCGAATTAGAGACAAGTTTATCCATAAGCTTTATCTGGTAATGAAGCTTGTCTTCTCTTATAGCCTTCGTGCATATGTTCCTTATATGTTTGTATTGCCTGTACGGGCCGTTGTTATCAGATCGTTTGTATTCTGCCCAACGGTGCCTTTTGTGGCTTAACAAACAAAGAGTGTGGCTCTTGATGATTGCAGGTTGCTTGTAGCTTTTTGGGACCGTTTGGAGAACTGACTGCTTTGTAGCACAGTATGAATTCCAAATTAGCATTCACATCAAGTTGAGAGTAAACATTCCAATCCACCAGTTGTAGATAGTCCTGTAATGCTGACACATTCAACCCTTTGAAATTTTAGCGCCTTTTAATGGTGGGATATCTCAGTTCAGTTTTGCTGACAAAACTGAAGGCTATAACGGCGTGATCGCTTTTCTTCAGAGGAGCCAGGATTGAGAGGTCGTCAACTAGGAATTCTTTGTTGGTAAATACCAGGTATCTGACTGTTTCTCCAAAGAGTTGCCGACTTCACATTTTCGAATAATCTCAGATTTTCAGTGAGGTTGGAGAACCGAGTTTCAATTTAGTTTTCACATCCAATATACGTAATTTCCGCGAAACTGACTCTAGGGAGTTTGAAGTCCCCTAGAATCAGGTTATGTGTGAGTCCGAGACGCGTAGAGCGGGATATTCTTTCCAGCATACGATTGTCGTACTCGATGTCAGCATTGGGCATCCTGTAGATGATCACAACTAGGCACCTCGAAGTGATAGACAATCTTACTGAGCACCGTACGGGTTCATCAAGGTTGGCAAGCTCTTGATTGTGATCTTGGTTTACCTCCAGGCAGGATCGTATGCATAGGGCTACTACACTCCCGATTTCTGTTTTTCTGCCGTTGCGAAACAGAGACATCCCAAGTATTGCTAGCTTCTAATCCGTAAACGGAGATATCCAAGTGTCAGATATTCCCATCAGGTAAGCATTATTAGTATTGCTAAGTTCATATAGCTCATCCATTTTATTTGGTAGATTCAATCAAAGTAAACTAACTGCAGAACAATTGACGCCTAGTTTCACTGCAAAAATCATTTGTCGACCTTCTACAGTCATCCGTTCTCCTGCTAACTTTTTCCCCCTTCTTCAACTTGGTCTTTACAGCACACAACTATGGAACTTTTACCCAACCTTTGATCATTATCTAATATACTCACCCATCAAGGTTGCAGTTTTGCCAAACGCCTTCTTCTCAATAACTCCTGACATACTTAACTTATTGTGGATTTTCCTCACGCAAATTGATTCTGTATTTACATGGCATACCTCCAGGAACATTCTTTTTTAAAATTTCGCCGACATACTGAATTGTTCGTCTTGATAATCTTAACGGGAGAATGTCTCATATGTAAATCTGTGTTCTAAATTAGTGATCACGCTTGCAAGAATGTTGTTTGCATCCTTGGTCAGTGATTACACTGTGTGAAATTTTAGGGTTTGTAACTGATCCTCAGGATTGTGTGATTTGCAATGTGGCATGAAGGTGTAGCGGTGAATAAATCCCCAAATCAATAGCTCTGTAAATCATCAACATTTGATGCTATGATGTTAGTACAACGCTAATAACAGACCTAATCCTAAAATTTTAGATTTGTCATGATATAACTGCCTAATCTATAAGATCTAACGTGGAAGTCACATCATCGTCTGCACCAACTCACTGTATCGTAACAACTACCAATACATGATGAAGAACAAGCTTAGGTTAGAGAAAGAACAATATATTTAATATGAATAGAAGATAAAAGGTAACATTCAGATGAACCGCGCCTACATGGCCGAGCCATGCCATTCGATCAACTCCAATTCATCTCACACATTCTTCTCGCCTTCTCAATCGTTCGGTATTTCTCCGCGTTAAATATTGAGTATCTATTTTCCGAGTTGTCTCGTGTTCAGTTTTGAGGATTGTATGGTTATGGTCCAATGCCACTACACATTGCTGTTCGCAACACCTTCATAACCGAGTATCCCAAAGTCAGTCAAACCAGAAGTCGAATAGAAAGGTTTTCGGAGATGTACTTGGAAGATAGTCAATGTGTCGAGAATTGCCTGATCTAAGCTGACTGGTTGTTGATAGGGACGCCCTTCACGGCGTCCTCGATCGTGACTTGGCGAGGATGATCGACAGAACGCCTTCAGCTGGAGTGTGTACAGTAAAACTAATAAGTTCAGCATCAATGTCAAAGACCTACAGAACTATTTATTTTAGGGAATTATTTACGTCCATAAGCTGAATGACAATAAGTTTATATAAATTTTGCAAGTCCAACTGAATTCAAAATCCGTACGTGTATGAAAATTTGGTTTCGAATCAAATTTGACGAACAACAATGAATTATATCAACCGGTGATTACTTAAGATTTTCTGTCTAGTTTTGTTTGAACTAGTCGTTGTTGAATAAGCCTGTTCTGGTCCTTTCCTTAAAGCGCGTTTTCGTAAGCATGAATCCGGAGAGGGTCGCATTGCTTAAGCAGTTTGTTGAGTTGCTTAAAGAGAAACCTGAAGTTCTCGACACCCCTGAACTGTCGTTCTTCAAAGATTGGCTTAAAAGGTATATTTCCGGTTTTGTTTATTTGCAAATAGTCTTGGGGCTAACGTTCCTGTTTCACAACCTAACCGACACACTGAAAATTCGTTTTCAGACGACTCTGGTGCAGATGAGACCTCAGAATCTGAAATAGGTAGATGTTAACAGTGATTACTAACACTTTCCAGAGTTTGATGATGAAGTGCTGCCAAAGGAACCTGTCCCAGACTTAGATATGGGTGACGATTCGATAGAAGTAACTGATGAATTGAGAGAAAAAGCTGAAGAAAAGAAATGTGAAGCAATGGCTAAAATGTCTGATGGAGACTTTACTGGGGCCGTTGATTTGTTCACCGAAGCAATTAAACTAAACCCCCAGTCCTCACTATTTCATGCTCGACGTGCAAGGTAAATTCCATTTTATCTGGCAATTCCGTAGTTGCTTTGTACGAATGAAAAAGCCGTCCCATGCTATCGCAGATTGTGACAAAGCTATTTCGTTAAACCCTGATTCTGCACAACCTTACAAATGGAGAGGATTTGCTAATAAGTATGCTCTGATTGTAAATAAATCTACTCCGCAGAATGATTGGTAATTGGGAAGCCGCCTATCGGGATCTTCAGACATCTTTGAGGTTAGACTACTCAGATGATGCCAATGAAGCGATAAAGGAAATCGAACCAAAGGTAATTCTTCGTAATTGAATACTTATCTGTATGTATGTCCGTATCATTTTTACTTACGAACTGCCTCGTGAGACTCATGAAAATTATCACTGTTTATAACAAAATGAGCATTAGTCTAGTACACTAACATATATCTAGTCACCAAGGTGGTTCGAAATGGCTTGTGTCGAATTTTCCACATTTGTTTCCTTCAGTGTAGCAGGTCGCCTTGTTTGTATACTTAGTATATCTATTGTTTTCAGGAGCCCAGAGTCTTGCTGACATTACCAATGCATACACCGGTTTAGGGTTGCCTAGTGAAGGATGAGTAATCTAGACGTAAATTCATTCTACAATTGGCTCATATTTGAGTTGCTAAATACTGATCTTGATCCCTAACCATCCGGCTTACCCAAAAGAGCGTCCTGTTCTGGTAACAAAAATCAATTTCAGGCCTTCCTCCTCCCCTTTTGGACTTTCCTAATTCACTAATCCATTAAGCCATCAAAAATAAGGATTAGCATTCCTGCGACTTTGTAAATTTCATCGGCAGGCGTGCGTACACTGACTGACTTTTGCAGAGTTTATCTTAAGTGTAAATGATCTACTTTTGGCATAAGGGTGAGTATTTTACACACTGCCCCTATTACGTTTTGGTTATTGAACATATCTAAAGAACCCACATGGGTTAGTCGTTAGTGGTGATACCGTCGTGTGAATAACACTGAGCTCAGCCGTAATATATTAAAGTGACGGTTCGATTACTAAGTATTTAGACTTCACTGAGATCGTTTCGTAGCCCTGGTCCGTCGTCTATGACAACTTCGGGGTACGTGGTCGGTTTTGTGGCATGGTTGAGGTTGTGACGTCAGCTAGATGTACATTTCTGACCTGACTGTTAGGGTAATTGTTGCTTCACGGTACATAAAATGTCGAAAGTCGACTAATCAAATGGATGTGTTTATTTCCTTGCATACTGGCCGTAATCTGTGGTTTTACCCTTTCTTAATATGTATTCCGTACATTTAGTCCACTACTCCGCGTGTCTAGATTTTAGTCTTGATGTGACGTGTAGCAACTCTAACGGAAGCAACTTCTGACCACATCCCGTATTATTAAAGGACAATCCCAACTTTGATTTCAATTTTACGCACATGTTTGTTACAGTTATTTTGGTATTGTTTTCCGAATAGCACAAACGAATCTTCGAACATAACATGAAGTATGAACGTAAACGACAAGAAAAGCTAGAACGAGAAAAACGCGAGCGAATTCGAAAAGCACGAGAAGAGCGTGAACGCGCCCAGAGAGTAGGTCAACTTGTTTGTACTTGGAAAAATGATTGTGTATAAATTTGTTTTTCACTGAGTTATTTCAATGCCTGAGAGTAAACTACTGTAAACCATAAATTTTGTTTTTGTAGTGTGTACTATTCTCCATTCATAAGTATTTATTTCCAAGTTGGTATATTTAGGTGTCCTCACACAAACGTCCATCGATTTCATTATCTTTTGACAAGTCGACCTTTTTTAAAAACAGTAAAGCGAGTTCAACTTAGACTTTAGTCATTTTAAATACGAAGCTTATAAATTAGGTCACTTTGAATTCCTTATGTTCAAAAGTTGAATTCAGCTCCAAAGTGGTTATCTTAAAACCACTTCTAACTTATCTGATCGCTTAGAAAAGTCAAACCTATATTTTTTTATTTTGGAATGAGTGCTCTTTTTGTTATTACCGATGTACCGCTCTACCATAATTATTAGTTAAGTGGGCTTGTTTGTCGTAGCTTTCAATTTTCTTATTTTTCCGTGAATAGGATACAGAAAAACCCGATTTTGACATTCCAGGAAGCGGTAACATTCCAGGCATGGACAATATGTTTTCGCAACTCTTCAATGATCCAGAATTGATGTCTGCTATCCAGGTAAATATCATATAGTTTTTAAACTCATTCTGCACAGCACTTGCCCATGTTTTTGGAATCATCGTTGAGTCTGGTGACTAAAGTCGGACCATTTAGAACCTAGCCCGTATTTTGGGGACTACCAAATATCGTCAGTCTGATTTATCTAGTTAGGAAATTCCTGATGTTTATGTATAGAATTTGTAGTTTTTTAGTCTTCGGTAGTATAAAGAGACTAGCAATATAATCCGAGTGTTGAGGTTCTAACAGTTTAATTATAAACAGCAAAGTAAATTCTACGGTACTCACTATTCCATCCATAACCACTGATATCTTAATTATCTAATAATAATGATAATAGGTAGTCACTAATTTGCTTCTATTTCATAGCCTGCTAATAGCAGATTTTTAGTTCTGAACGGTATTATTACAAGTTATACTTGACTTTATGTGATCAAAGGTCTATAAAAAGTGCTCCAAGTATGAATTCCTACTTTTAGGTTTAATAATAAGTTCAGCTCTGCTAGAAGTTGATCCGCGTACTTTAAAGTTTTTGTTTTATAGATCAAAAAGCTATGTTTAATCCATCCTTACATACTCGCATTAACTTTTTTAGGACCCTGAAGTGATGAAGGCATTCAGCGAAGTATGCTCAAACCCAGCTGCCATGGATAAGTACAAAAACAACCCCAAGGTAATGAAGGTCATTGAGAAAATGAAGAATAGATTTGGTGGTGGTGGCGGTGGTGCTATGCCCGGTAAGTCAACCATACCGACAGATTTGGATTTGAATAACGTTTACAAACTGATATACACCTTAAAGTGCACTTTCTTTTCGATGTATCAGTTAACAGATTTGTAGTTAGTATAGGTAATCAGATTTTCGAACAGCGTATATCACTATAGCCACGTCCAGTAATGTTAGACAGACGTTTAAATATAAAATTTGTCTAATAAAACATTTTCCTAAGTATTCTTGAGATCAAGATCCAGCTACGTGATCGTGAATAATACTGCAGCTTGTAGAAGTGGTTCAATGGTATTTTCACCAGTCTACAGACCGGTGCATGTGCTAAGAATTTGCACTCGACTCCAATGAATTGGTGAGTTGCGCTTTTGAATTTTACGCAGTAAATGGAGTCCAACAACGCTATTCCAAAACCTCATATGACTCTTAGTCGGGCTACATTTCATTGGAGTCGAAACATTCAGTTGTTCATTTTATTAAAGACCTATCGGTCTACCTTTTGCTTACTCAGCTATGTTTAAAGTAAATAACAAAATAAAACTTGTCTATTTTATCAAACGTATTTATAAAAACAGCTTCGTATTATATTCCTCATGTATTTAATGTGGATAAATTTTTAGGAGGTATGCCGTTCGGAATGGGTGGAGCTGGATTCAATATGCCTAACCAGTCATGTCCAGGTAAGATTTAATAAAAAAATAACCTGTTACTGTGTCATTTAGATCTAGACTAGGTAAAGAAACATTGATCTCAGTCATCTGGTGATTCCATTTAAATACATTTAATCCCTCGACATTTTCGTACATATGAATAAAAGCTTCCAGACTGTTTTCTTTTCTTCTGCATTAGCTGTTATGGGTTTACCAATTATCAATAGAGGGGTAGGGTTTTCTTCGTTAAGTTCTAGATAATTGGCGGTGAAATAACGCAGATTCTGTTTTACGTTATACTATTAGTCATTAATTGCTTCATAAGTAGATTATTTTGTTACTTTTGGAATTAATATTGAGCTCTTAAGTGTTTTTTTATGGAATGAAAATCGAATGACACTACACCGTATATATGTTGCTCTTAAATGTTCAATAACTTAACCGGCAGTCAGTATTTAAGTCCAGGTTATATTGTGACACCATACATACATATATATATATCAGATGTATAAATACTTTTAACTTGGATCGTCAATATCTGGCAAACTGAGTTGCTTTGGTACTGGTTTGGCTGTTAGGCGATACCAGGAAGCTGACTCATAAAATAAATCCATATTAAAAACTGAAAGGGAACATGTGTGTCGGAGGTGAATTTCATGGTATGTTGAAATACCATCCAAAAGGGCTGGCTTATGCACAAACGGAAACCAGTGTGATAGTCGCCACACATTAAAGATAAGCGTTTTGCTTTTGTTCAACAAAGTCCATTTCGCCGAGTTGTCAGCATAAATGTAACGTGAAAAAAGGGCGGATATGGTGATATAGTAAACCCATTGTCTGATTGGTTGGTCCCCTATTATAAAAACAATGTAACTACCATAAATAGTCGTACTTTGAAAACCGCCAGCAAAACTCGTGGTATAATTAATTGTTGGGAAGTGTCTGAATCCATATTGATACGCCCACTAAGCATATAAATGTACGCTATGTGTTTGTATAACAAACGCTAAATACAGTGATGTGTTGTTAAATATTGGTTCAATTCGTGGTCACACATGTAGGATGGTAAAAATTTGTAGGTGAGGTGGGTATTTTTTTTAATGGTATGTGTTTTAATAGCGGACTTTTAATTATCTCCCCGAGCTAGGCCAGCGCACCATCATCGTGTTTAGGTTTTTTAACTATGGGCGAACCACCAATGTTTCGGTAAGTGGCCTTGTCAGTTTGGAGATCAGTGAGCTGCGTCCAATAATGTGAACAAACAGATTTAATTCATGATTAAATTATCCCATAAACCAACTTAGAGCAACATCGGGCCAAATTTCTAGTTATTAGAGTTAATCGAGATCATGAGATAAAGAAGTCATTTAAGGTGAATGTATGTATGATCATACATTAATCTACTTGCTTCACTATTTTTGCATTGATTTCGATTTACGATTGATATGAGAATGGACGACTTAAGGTGTTCTAGTTCCAGTAAGATGATAACATCAAAAAGTTTTCGGATGATTGGGGACCAACTAAGGTCGAAGTCACATCTCATGGTTAGTACTTAACTTGAGTCATCCCTTTAATCGTATCCAGGTTCCGTGGATGCTTTGATGACTAAAACAAACGACGTTATCAAAATGTATTAGTAAGAATAGGTACAAGGAAGAGTGCGATCATCACCGCATGGACCAGTCCATGGTTTTCAATTAACTAGTGCGTGTTGGTTATCCTTGAACTTGATGAGGATCAGTGAACTGTGCGACATTTAGTGACCCGACTGTCGGATGATTTGGCTAGGGCTCAGTGACATTTCACTGGGCCTACAATTTTGCATCGATGAACTCATTTTAAATGAAAAATAGTGACTAAACAAAATCACAAAAGTTATTGGTTATAATGGATAATATATTTTCCTTTCCCTCGAATCAGAAAATTTAACTTTGATATTCACGAATGATTGATTTTTGTGGTTTTGTATGTATGCAATATCGTGATTCAAATGTCTTAGTAGTGTAAATTTATACTATGGTCATCCACATTTTTTTTGTTGGTGTTGAGTACATGTGAAGTGATCAACGCTTTCGGCTATTTTTTTTGTTTCCGTTCGTTTAGGGAGTGTCATAAATTTGAATGTAATTTTCACTAGTTTTTATCTGGAGGTGTACACAACTCTCCGCTATAGATATATTTGTGCAGCGCAGTGTAACACGCCAGATGAAAAATAAATACAGGGCTTGAACTGAAGACACTTTTTAAAAATACATAATAAAATGAGCACACATCTACTAGATGAACGGAAAGTACTGGATACTTCGCATTCACTGAACATGGAAAACGTCCAGCCGTAAACTTGTCAGACTATTATAAACAGCTATTGTTGTAGGACATTACCAATGTGAGCATAAATGATCAGTTTTAATTGAGATAACAGTCAATGTACCTCTGTTAAAAAACAGTAGTAAATGCTTCTGGACATTGAATTTGACATCGTTAACGGTAGATTACAAATCGGTTTAACTTTCGTTAAGATATTAGTATGCATTTCTGAATTGTTCCTATCGTGCTATTATATTTCAAGACTTAGAGACGATATGAAAAAACATTCCAAAAATTTTTCAAAAAACCATTCAGTGCATCTTAAGGTATTCGGATGAAATACATCATGAAAATTAGCGCTGGGATAAGTAGAAGGATATACATTAGGTGCGTAATATTGGGATGACTTTGGAATTACCGCAACAAACTTTCAGCCTATCTTAACACAATCAGAAAATGGCTATTTGTGTGTGGATAATTTCAGGTAAATAAGACAACAGTACTACAAAGTTCTATAAAAATAATTTGTCGAAGTCTTCTACAAATTACTCTGAATGTAAGTCAAAAATACAGAGAATTAAATTCACTCACACGGATATAAACCATCCGTTCTCTTAAACCCGTATAATAGCCCAATTAGATTTTAGCAGGTCCCATATGTCCTTTGTTAGGATTTTCATGACGAAATGGTATCAGCTGTACTGAAAAATTAATCTGTAACTATGTGGATGAATAAATTCCTCGTAAAAATCTGAAATTAGAAGAGTTGTTCGTACATAGAATATAATGTCACGAGGTCAAAGTTCTTTTCAGGACTAAAAGTCTAGTTGAAAGATTTAGGGACACTGATGTGACGAAATTAAAACAAATTTCCTGAGTTGTTCTTTGTCTGTGTGATCAGACCGTAATGCAGGACGGGAGTTGTATTCTAGTCCGGGTATTGATTAATTCGCCTAAATTATCTATCTTATACAATATCTTCTGATAAACAATAGTACGACGATAGTGGGAAAACAGCCGAGATCAATACTTAACTACTGTTGGTCCAGAATGCAGTTTTCCCATGATTGCTTGTCCAATAATCAGGATAAGACAACACAAAACGTAAAAATGCTATAACTACATAGTTCAAATTTATGGATCGTTCATACGGTGATATTAAGTAGAATCCTGACCATAAATTAACATATTTAAGAAGTCACAGTACATGCACACTACTTCATATTTGAAACAACTGAGTAATGGATCTATACTGATTTAACAATAACTTCAGAAAGGTAAAACAGTTTATCCATCACAGAAAAGCTTACTAGCATGGTCATACAATAAATTAAGTAATAATTATACAACAAAAATATAACACGTTCAGGTAAGGTAGTTCCGGAAATTCAACTTCCTTTGATATTTCCCCATAGCAGATGCTGTCTATTTGCCCGTTAGATACAACGTACAGAGAAAGAATCAATCATCTTATGTGTTTAACACTTCTATCTTTACATCATGGTAAAAATAATGATGTTCTTTTATCATTTTAAACGTTCTGGGCACCATTAAACGATATTTCTACTGCTCGTTATATGTGATATCTGAGTTCCTCATCAACATTTTTATTCTAAGTGTTTCATCCTCATATTGTTTTTACTGGATACATATCCTTGAGATTTCATTCAAATGTTTGTCGAATATCATACAGAATATTGCTATTATTAGTAATATCTGGATTTATAATGATTATAAAACATACAAATGAATATTTGTTTTTTCTTGCTAATAAAAATAGAACCGGATAACTAAAACAGAAGTCCTACATAAATCAATATTGAAATTTAACTTCTATTATTAGGTATTATATCCATGAGAAAACTATTAATGTAACCTTACATTAATAATGACTAAATCATACCAAAAAAAAAGAGAACAAATTCGTATACAGATTATTTTATGTTTCGGTAAAATTATTTAATAATAGTAAGTTTATCAAGGTGTATATTGAAAATTATTGAAACTAAAGAGCAACTAAAAATTGGAAGTATCTTTTCACTAGGTGTAGATTATAAAATGAACTAAAATTTTGATTTGGAAAATCATAAACATTTATGGTAGCAATTAGTCATTGTGAATTAACAGAAGATTTTCTAGAAATTGTCGAATCTATTCTCATCTAATATTTACCAATTCATGAGCTTTGTAGAATATACCTTTTTGAGTGTGTGAATTACATATGTTATTAATAAGAATAAGTCTGTCGCATCATCATCACTCGGTAAGAATTACATGATAATTTTGTTTGTTTCTAATTCAGATTATATCTCAAACAAAATTTAACAGTCATCTGTAAGCGGTTGTAGAGATGGTTGAATTTCATTGAACTCATGAAGTTAGACATTAAGGCCTTTGAATGACGATTCAGTAGCCTAAAAGTTAAGCGTTCTCGAACGTGATCGAATGTTCTTGGTTCGATTTCCATATTCGGGGTCGTCGATGTGCACTGCTGTGGAGTGTTCCCATACTGGGGAGGAACGGCCATCTAGTAGTTCAAGTCTTTCAATGGTGGTCTAACTTAAGTCGGTACAGAATCTCAATGAAATTATTTATTAAGAATTAGCTCAATTTTCTTTTGTTCAAAGTTCAACTCATTACTGATGCACTGAAATAACTCGAAATTTTCTGTCTAGTAAATGCTGGAAATTCAAGATGTTCATTCGATTGGTGTTCATGTTATGAAAATTATCGAGAAATTGTTTATATAAGCACTAATTACGTGTTTAAACATAGATTGTTCTCTTGAATAATTTAGTCTTTTTAGTTAAAATAGTCAACTTCAAATGAGACAAAACCGATTTATTCAATCCACATGAAATCATTATCA